CTGCTGTCTCCCCATTCACTCACTGGGAAAACTGTGCTGTTTCCTCTGCAGGAGGCATCTGCACACCCTGGCACCAGAGTGACAAAGTGGGTCACACATCCCACCATCACCAGCTCACAGTCCAGCACTGCCCCCTCCCCACATCACACCCCTGACCCTCCCCAGTCCCAGCAGGTCAGAAACTGCTCCTGGCAGTGGCTCTGTGCTCTGCTCAGCACTGTCTCCTCACAGCTAGTGGGGGCCTTCTGTTGGCTGCTCCTCACATCCTCCACAGTGACCTTGTGCCCCCCATGCCCTCACCATCCCCATCCCATGCCACGGCTACACTGCATGGCACTCAGAAACCCTCTGGGATCTAAAGGAAAACCTGAACTCCACCTTGCCTTTTAGCACACATACATTATTCCCTTGGCAGATCAGGCAACCCTGACTGTTTCAGAATTCCCCTCAGTTTCAGTGCCAGGTGGAATGGTGTGGCACCATTTGGGAGTGCTGCAGTTGGTGTGGATGCTGCTGGCACTGCCCTGCCCAAGGCAAAAGGGAGGGCAAAGTCTTTGGGAAGACCATGTGAGAGAGAAATTCTATTGAGCTGATGCAGGCACTGGGAAATAAAGATCTGGCAGGTGGGCACCCAAGGACTCAAGTTTGTTGGAGAGTCATAGGGGAAAGAGAGGCAACAAGAAGCTGCCATGACACCAATGGAAAAGGTGTGTCTTCCACCACATGGAGACTTCAAATGAAGACAATGGAGAAAATGGTTCAGCCAAATGCTGTATAATGAACTCCACAGAGAGGCAAGACCCCAGTGAGGCACTGGTGTGCAGGAACCACATGGTCCCTGTGAACCACACCACCCTCAGCCCCAGCAGAGCCTTCCCTAGGATAAATGTGGCCAAAACAGCATTTCAGAAACCTCAGGAGATTTGTACACTTTGTTAATTATTCTGGTACCATCCACGGGCACATTCACCAGTGGCTCCAAAGGAGTTTTTTCCATCCCTGAATTGCTGAATTATAAAATCTTATGGGTTAAGTGCACAGAGAACCTGTAACAGTCACCCTTAAAAAGCAAAATTTTTACAGGTATGTACACTTGAGATCATTATGAATATATGTGCATGTATGGAGAGCAAAATGTTTGTGTAAATGATTGAGTCTATGAGAAAAAAAGGAACACAGATAATTGTACAGAGACATGAGAAGAACTGAGACCATAATTGTGTACAGTACAAGTACACAGTACAGTAAGCAAAGATACCCACGAGTGCCAAAAGGAGGAGAAACAAGTAGCTCAACATTTGGTTATGGCCTAAGGGACAGACTTTGCTGAAGACACCGAATAGTTAATAAAGCTTCTGAACTGTTTCCAATTCTCAGACAAGGAAGGAATAGTTCCACTCTCACCAGCAACTGCTCTTTCATATTTGTGTGTCGAGCTGGCTTTATTAAATTATTCAGCAAAGGTCAAATGTGATGTGTCTTCCTAGTTTTATTATGATTTTTCATGACATTGCCTGAGTAGCTGAATAATAAACAGTGCACGTCAAAATGCTGCAGTGCCTGGGCTGTCCACAGCCACTCGGGGTTATTCAGTCCCTGGTTCTGAGGCAATGTGAACTCTGCAAAGTGTTGCCTGTGGAACCATGATGACAAAACAGCACCAAGCATCAACACTATGTATGCATCCTGAGTTGGAAGCCTGCTTGTATGATATATACTTTGCAAATTTTTGACCCTGACTAACCATCTAGCTACAGCACTTTGACTGATGAGAACTTCTCAGCCTGTGATGAGCTGCTCAGAAGTGCTGGGAGAGAACAGGTAGTGAAAGTCTGACAGGCTAAATGGTCTGATACCTACAATGACCATAGAAGCAGACAGCAAGTTTTATTGCTTTACAACAGATAAATACCTTGAACAGATTCACATCAACTCATGTGATACTTTAAATAACCCTATGAGTTTCCAGCTGCTCTGGGCAATGTCTAGATGTTATTGGAAAAGCCAAAAGAAATTAAAAATTGGATCTTCTAATCAGGATGCAGGTTTTCTTGCAATTAAGTGAGCAGCAGAACATTGAATTGAATAATAAAAAGAAGGTTATGAATTCAAGCTGTTCCAGGTTTCTGATGGTCTCCTTGATATTGCTTTAAATTAATTTCTTGTTAAGGTATACAAAGATACTTTTTGGTAATCCCCTTTATAGACTTTAAGGCCTGAAGACTATGGAGAGAAAATGTTGAGAACATTCATGGTTACCAACGCAGCAAAAATGTATGTTTTAAATCTCAGCAGTAACCAGCAGCATTCCAAGAAGAGGGAATACATTTCTTAGGAGTATGAGAAACTATCACAGAATTCAGACATAACAAATAATTTGCATGCTCTAGTCTGCCATACTTCTGAGAAAATGCAAATACATCCTTGCTACAAAAATTCTGAGTAGTATGTGATAATTTGGGGTGGGATTCGGAATTTGAAAATGAAGTTTGTGTTTGTTTTCTACATTTGGAGATTTAGGTGACACAACTGTAGCCAGATCTTTTAAGTTTGAATTTGCACAGACCTTAACTTAGTAACTAAAAATCTAACTCTAATATCTCATATATACAGAAACAGATTTCTGAGGTCATAGATCCTCTTTGACTTTCCAAGTGTTCAGGATTCATATTCCAGAAACACAAGTGGCTCCCAAGAACCTCTTCAGCCTTGACAGTGATAACCAGAAGGGATCAACAGTATCCCAAGTAATCCTTATAATTCTGTTAATGATTCCTGTGGTGCATAATAAATGAAGAAACTGCTCAGTCCCTCTGCTCCAGGCTCCTCATTCCCCCTGGCAAGAGCTCATCCCAGTTCCCAGCTTCCCCATTTTTCAGCATCTTTTTTTTAACCTACTCTTTTTGAAGAGTGTATTTCTTCCTTTTCCACTGAAAGAGGAGACTTAAAAGAACAAAATAAAAATAAAATGCACACAAGAATAAAAGCTGAAAGAATTTCAGGGTGGTTACATCCCCCACAAAACAATGAGGAAATTAAATGTCCAACCAGCCTAGGGTGTAATAAAATTTCCTTGCATACTGATGTGCCACTCTTCTTGAAAGGTCTTCCCCACATTTCAGTCAGCTTGTGTG